TACTCTTATAATACAAATTACAAAAATTTTAATTTTATAAATCACTTAATAATTAATCTCTTTATTATATTAAAATTTATAATATTATATACATTTTGTAGTATCTAAAAATTGTAAAAAAAAAAAATTGACACAAAATAATGATCCATATATCATTAGCATAGTAAATTTGATTCTCTTTGCTTACAATGTCGTGATGTAATTATCAGAACGGTTTTCTTCAGCATTTCGTGGCTATTATAAAATTGAGGCTATTTTAGTAACTGCACCATTTATTCGGCGGAACACGTGTTCTCTCGTAGGTTGTCTGTGGTTGTAAGATCAAACTCGTCACGTTATTCTTCACCGTCCATCCAAGCAAAAGCCTTTGATTCTCTCTCTCTCTCTCTCCCACACTCACCCCCACTCACCGAGTTTCGTCGTCAGCTCAACCCGGTGTTTCAAAATCCTAAACTCTTCCGCCCTGATTCCGTTGATTCTGTAGAAATCTCGAAGCCAAATTCTCTGTTTCACCTTTGATTTTCAACGAAATCGAATGCATCGGTGCGGGTGGATTCTGCTTTTTGTCGCGCTTTCTTGTCTCGGATGTCCACTCCGCGCCAGTGACGGTGACGGTGACGGTGACGGTGACGGTGACGCCGATCCGGTTTATCAGTGAGTCCGGTTGATTCTTCCGTTCTTCTTTTCATGTCCAAAGATTTGCATGAGGATTTGCAGCCTTGCACTCGCAATTACTTGTTTGGTTCTTTTTCAAAGAAATTTCAGTTTTTTTGTATTCAAAATTTTCATGTATGTTTGTGTAGTAATTATTAAAAATAAAAAATAAAAAGTTTTGAATTTTGAGAATTAATAATTAACGAAAAAATCATAATCAATGGAGTAATTAATTGTTTTAATTCACCATTATGCTAATTAGTTATCCAGTAATTGCGACGTGATATTGCATCCACTCCCTTAATGAGATACATCGTGATTATATGTGCATCGTAACTATATTATTTTCATTAATTACCTGATTTTTCATTAGGCCGTGCGGTTACCGTCATTTGTTCATTGATTAGGTCCTGCGTGGAGCAATGTGAGAAAACTGGATGCGTGGGGGAAAGATGTTTCCAGCACTGTAAATTTTCTTGCGATGGGAAACCAATTGATGGGCCATGGTATCTACAAGAGCCCCTCTATCAGAAATGGAAGCAATGGGATTGCCGTAGTGACTGTCGGTACTATTGTATGCTTTCTAGGGAGGAAGAAAGGGAGAAACTTGGTCACAGACCTGTCAAATATCATGGAAAGTGGCCACTGCAACGTGTTTACGGATTCCAGGTTTATTGTCCTTGTGAACATTGGAGTAATATTTAATAAGTGACGTACTTTCCATAAAAAGGAAAAAAAAATTGATGTACTTATTTTGCTTTTGGAGTTGGATGCTTTATATGTTTGGTAGTATTGACATAATAGTGTTTCTTTTTATTTTTCAGGAACCTGTTTCTGTTGCTTTCTCTACTTTAAATCTTGCCATGCAATTTCATGGTTGGCTGTCCTTTTTCATCCTGGTATACTATAAGTTGCCTTTGAGGCCAAATAAGAGGACTTATTATGAGTACACTGGCTTGTGGCACTTTTATGGCATCCTTGCAATGAACTACTGGTTCTGGAGTGTCGTATTCCATAGTCGGTAAGCGGACTTTCTTTTCTTTGGACTGACCAGAACTCTCTATGCATCTACAATAGTATATACTTTCAGTCTAAGTCAGATTAGCTCTGGAACAGACCCTTGTTTCTGATGTTGCTACTTTAACAATAAACTTGCTTAAAACACTGGAAAATAGTTGAAATTAGGAGAAAAATTTCGGTTCAAACTGGATGCCTTTTAGTTGGACTAGGGTTCTTCATCTTCTCACAACTTGCCAGCCATTTTGATGCTCTGTAAGGCAGTATAAGAAACCAATGCTTAGTATTTAATGTTCTGTAGTCTGTACACAGTACTCAGATTATGACTGTAATATTAAGGAGTGCAAGCTATGCCATTCAGTCCCCTATAAGGTGAAAAGCCATTAGTAATTTATTTCTCTTACAAGTTTAAGAAATGAATAGAGTTTGGGAGTTGAGTTATTATTCTAGCCTTTATACAGAATTGACCCTTTTTTTAAAACTTATTTTCTTTTCAATATGTTTTTCCATTTTCTAACTAAATTAATTATAGGGATGTAGAGTTGATAGAGAAGCTAGACTATTCGTCTGCTGTGGCATTGGTTGGATTTGGTCTTATTCTATCAATCATACGAGCTTTCAATGTGAGAAATGAAGCTGCAAGGGTCATGGTTTCTGCTCCGCTCATCGCATTTGTCACAACACATATTTTGTATCTGAACTTCTACAAACTTGATTATGGTAATTGACATATCTGTTAACCCGCATCAACATATTAGAACATTGTCATTCCGTACAGCACAAAGTGAACTTGCTCGATGATATTGTTGCTAGATTATGAAGTTTTATGGAACAACTCTGAATCAGCTTGACATCATTCCATTGCAAAAAAAAAGGCTTATCATCGTTACTCTAAACTGTTTGTACAATTTAAAAGTGTTCCTTATCTCAAGTATATGGTCCATCCTCTTTCTTTATATGCTTTTGGTTTTTAAGAATTTGCTTTAGTGCACCTCCTTTTTCCTGAGTCAAACAATTTTACGTTCACTCTCCTCCAAACTTGATTTCATTCTGTTCTATATTAAAAATAATACGGACTCATGCATTACCATACCATAGCTCTGGCATCCCTTGACATTCTATTGTTTTGCACAGGTCTAAACATGAAAGTTTGTATGGGCATGGGTTTAGCTCAACTTCTCATCTGGGCGATTTGGGCAGGTGTCTCTAGCCATCCATCGCGCCGGAAACTTTGGGTATTTGTTGTTGGAAGGAGTCTCGCAATGGTCTTAACAATATATGACTTCCCACCGCATTGGAGATTTGTGGATGCACACGTTCTTTGGAATGTTGCTAACATCCCTCTTACTTACCTCTGCTGGAGCCTTGTTAGGGATGATGCCGAGTTTAGGACAACAACTGTCCTCAAGAAAATGAAGTGACTGCAGATCTTGTCATGTAAGCAACAAACTGACATGTGTAATGACAGCCACCGCACTGTCAAGTCTTATGCAATTTTCAAGAATGCTTATCACCGTAGAGGTACCTTTGACGTTTCATTTAATGGTCATTATTTCTGCATAATCGCAAGCTAGGATTTCTGCTGCATTGGAAATGAAATTCATCAGGCTCATGTCTTCTTTGGTGATGGTAGGTCTGTTCAGAAAATCAAATTTTATTGTAAATTTTGTATAATCTTCGAAGTGGCATGGTAAGTAGCATTTCTAATCTATTTTTCTCCAGTGATAAAGGCATGTGCGGCTGTTCCTGTGTTTTCTTGGATTTTGTTTGGGCTCCGGTCTTGCAATAGTATCGCTAATATGTAAAGAAAAGAAAAAGCCCATTGTTTTTAGGCCGAAGAAAAGTCCATTGTTCATAAAACGCTTTAAATTTCAACATCGAAAATGAAGTCTGTCCAAGGGAGCACCAACATTACCCAGGCCTTCCCTGATAAGTCCTGTTCGGTCCTATGAAACATTCTGAGAATGACCTGAATCCGAAATTAGGATACTTTAATTAGTGATTGTTAACTTGTTTAAGATTTTAATTTTTCTATTCTAACTATAAAGTGTCTTCAATCCACCATGTGTATATCTATAGGCCAATATCATCTTGTTGATTTTAAAGATATACCCTTACATTGATTTATTTCTTTTTTTAAAAAAATTGAATTTTAAAACTTGAACTTTGAAATTAATTAGTGTTTACCATTAAAACAAACTTTTGGTTTGAAGGAATGGAAGAGGAGGAAAAATTATTTCATTAGTCAAAGTAAAATCACTCTCTATCCTCTCCTCTGTCTTTTCACTTCATCTCCTTGGAACCAAACAACTATTAGGGTCCACGGCTAAACTTCTTCTTGTTAAAGTGGTATTTGTTATAGAATTTTAGAAACAGTTATCAATAGTTGATTTTAACTAAATGAATTAAATATTTTAAATTATAAATAATAATCATTTTTTTATTAATCCTTAAATATTTATGATAAACTGTCAACTGAATTTAAACAATTAATCTAAACACACCTCTAACTCTAACTCTGAGTAATTATTTCCTCGACTTCATTTTCAAGAAGATCTACTCAAACGGGCCAAACCTTTGCTTAGAACTTCACTCATACAATTCAGTTCCTTGCTTATTCAATAGGCTTATTCAATAGTGACCGTACTTGTCAAAAAATATAAGTACGGACCAGAACAATGTCTAATAAAAACCAATCTAATGCATCTCTAGCACTAACTTAAATTTAGTAACTCCACAATGACACATCAGTGTTATCTAATTCCACTTCGTCGGCATTGTACATGTAGTAGGGCGGTGGCAGCATCATCGCTTTCGCCATGTCTGCAATCAGTCCTGGCATCCCAAAAATCTCCTCCTCCATGTAAAACAAATCTCCCGATACTCCACTTGTTCCCGACTCCACATTCTCCGTCGGCTTCATTTCATCCCCTGAGTTCCCTTCCACTGGCCGGAATGCCTCCGCCGCCTCTGCTGCTGTCTTCTGGATCTCCTTTGGGTCACTTGACGCCGGTACTGGCAATCGCCAATACGAGTCCGCGAAATTAAGACACGCTGATCGCCCCCTCAAGGCTAATACCGCCACATCGTGAGCTCGCGCTGCCATCTCCGCTGTGGGAAAAGTCCCCAACCAGATTCTCGACTTCTTATTCGGCTCCCTCACTTCGCACACCCACTTCCCGGAATTCCTCCTCCTCACACCTCGGTACACCGGGTGCCGAGTCTCCCTAAACTTCTTCCTCCCCGCTTTCCTCTTCGGGTGGCTGGAAGCCAACATTACTTCTTCATCAGAATAATTCGCCGGACGAGACCCGCTACTGTCGGAATTGGGTGACAAAGACATGGGTGGCGAAACAGACATGGGTGACGAAACAAAGTACTGAGAAAAGACATCCATGTGAAAAGAATCAAGAATCAAACTCTCTAACTTCAAACTTTTGCGGTTGGTGAATGGAGTAGTGAAGTGCATGTAGTGTGTAAAGCAGTTTAGTGTTTTTAGATTCTGGATGAGTTGTTTACTTAGTATAAAAAGGTGTGAGAATTGGGTTTTAATTATAAGATTTAGGGGCGACTTTCGACAGCGGAAAGGACGCGAACACGGAGTCAGCTGTGGATTAGAAGAGGGGAAGCTGGGGAGGGAGCAGCCACGGTTTGTACATGGGAGGAAGGTAGGAGAGAGCTAGCGGTGAAGTAGGGACAGGGCAGCTGTAGTGGGTTTATTTGATGACACGTAAAGCGATTTGACTTGTTGACTGATTGATTGCAGTTTTATGGGTAAGCATCTTTTTTTTAAAAAACATACTACGGGCCGATGTTATGTTTTTATGTCAAAAGTAGGTGTCAATTTCACCTTTCTTCTTTAAAAATATCTAGCCAGGTGTCAAGTGTACACAGGATGCCAAGTCTAGTTTTCTAATAAAGAAATTGTACCACTGATTCCTCGTATCTTCTTTGGGTTTTTTTGACGTTGGTAGTAGTGTAGTACAATACTTTTTTTTTACCCAAAAAAAAATATATATATATATATATACATATTTTAAATTTACGTTTAACTAATAAAAGCACATTGGACCAATTATTTATTAATTTAAGTAATAAGAATTGGATTTACCTTAAATAAAATTTTGAATTTAAATTTTATAAATGAAGAAACATGTACTGAGATAATTTTTTCTTAATGGGATCCAACATGACACGATTCTAAATTAGTCGAATTCAATATGATTATCAGATACCGAGAGATTAATACAAAAAAAAAGTAAGACTCAAACAACTACATTTTCTTTTCTACTTGTTTTCTCTTCACATTTGGTTTGATTTTAGTGGTGAAAACAGTGGCAGAATTAGATAATGTTTTTCATGGAAGGTAAAATGAAACATTAATAAAAAAAAATGAAAAAGAAAATAACATGAGATAAAATAAATAATTTTTTTTAACAAAGTATCATAGGAGCTTAAACTTAACCCGAGATGAGAAAAAAATGACACCTTAATAAGGTGGTAAGAACCACACAACCTAGTAGATCAGATGTGACAAAATAAAGAATTTAAAGAAAAAAAATGACAATAAAATAAAATAAAAGAACCTTCTGTTATTAAATCAATTAAACATGCAACACCTGTCTTCTCTTTTTTTAAAAAAAAAAAAAAAATTTCCAAAGCATGCACTAACATTAAAAGGTCCAAAAATCACATGTTAAATGATATTTTTACTGTGTCTCACTGTCTGTCCCATTAGACTGGTTAGACTGGAAGGATTCTGTTATTGGCTTTTTCTTTTTTTATAGAAAGGAAGAAAGTAGAGGTTCAGAAAGCTGACACGTCGAGCATTTGAAAAAGGCATCCTATTTATGGCCGTGAGATCTCACGAGTTTTAAGTTTCAACATTTTAACAACACGGTTTGTTGACGGGAATTGTATCTCCCGGTTTAGTTTTCCTTGCGGGCCCGAGAAGTAGGGGTGGCAGAAAAATATGCAATCCAAAAGAAATTTAAAAAACGATAAGATTATAATCAACAGGCATGTTTTGACTGAGTTTTACGATTTGTTTAATTAAAAATTAAATTTAATTGATTTTAAATAATTTGAATTTTAGTTATTAAAATTAAAAATTTTTAAAATTAATAATTAAGATAAATATAATTGAAATTTTTGGATTAAAATTTTTGTTATATAAATTTTT